AACGAAACAAGAGAATTTTTTTGACAACGCTAAATTTTCTAGAGAATGGCAATTATTTTGATAGGGATATATAGAGAAATGGAAAATTTTCAGATCATTCTATTTTAAAATAAAGTTTTAGGCACAGGGCTACCCTCCCGCAATCTAAAATAACTGTTCGTTGAATAATAAGAAAGCTATAGTAAAAACGAATAACAAAGACTGTAATTTACAAAAAAAAAAATATACTAAACTCCTAAAATCTGTATACTAATCTTAAACGTAATAAATAATTCAAGATAAATTTTTAATTAAATTTTCAAGTTACCATATACAAATTAATCAATAGAATATAATTAATTTATAAAAAAAAATAATAATTTACTTTTTCTCTGTTTATTAAAAAAATGTAAATATAAAATAAATAAAAGGTAATTAAAGCAAGTTTTGCTCATTAATTTTCCTTCAAAATTGAGACAATTGACACAAGAAACAGAAAGATTTAAAATGGACAGGGGGCATAATTTAGAACTAAAAGCATTCGGAATTGTGGCACAAACTCGTTCGTCGAACTCAAAAAAGTAAAAAATTTTGGCGTCGCTCTAAGATCTAAAGTTAGCGTTACTGGCTCAACACTTAGCAGCTCATAGAGTTCTTGCTTTTGCTCAAAAAAATATATAGATAAAATTTTGCAAAAATTTCCAACTTCCCTAAAAAAGAAAAAAAATAAATAAAGAAAACAAAATTAAACGTATCTATTCATCGAATTCAAAGAATTTCAAAGTATCAAATTTTTATTAAAAATTCAAACTGGAAATTCAAGTTTCAAAATTAGAATTCAATTCAGTATTAAAAAATTCAAATTCAAATTTAAGAATAAAAGTAATTAATAAGTTCTAAATAAAAATATTTGCCTTTCTTCTTTATTAACAAAACAATAATATCACTATTTGAGTTGAAGAGAAACTTTTACTAAATATTCTTCACTGAAAAAAGTTATTTAATTCAAACAAACGATTACTTGTCGATTAAGAAATAAATAATTTTTTTAATGAAATAATTTTTATTTGTGTCAAATGCTATTTGCTTTAAATACTGAAATTATTCTTTAGAACACAGTTTATTTGATTTAAATAAAAATTATTTGAATCAAGTAAATATTTAAATAAAAATTATTTGAATCAAGTATAAATATTCGAATATAATTTATTTGATTCAAATAAATATTTAGTTGTGACAAATAATTTTTATATAAGTCAAATGCTATTTGCTTCAAGAACTAAAATTATTGGTTTCGAATACAATTATTAATTTTATTCAAATAATTATTATTTAATTCAAATAATTATTATTTGATTCAAGTAAATATTATTTGATTCAAGTAAATCAAATAATATTTGATTCAAGTAAATCAAATAATATTTGATTATTACTTAAATAAATAAATAAATATTTATTTGTGGCAAATAATTTTTATCTAAGTCAAATGCTATTTGCTTCAAAAACTGAAATAATAATTAATTAATTATTTATTTGATTGATTATTATTTGATTCAAGTAAATATTTATTTGCGGCAAATAATTTTTATCTAACTCAAATGCTATTTGCTTCGAATACTGAAATTATCCTTTCAAATATAATTTATTTGATTTAAATAAAAATTATTTGGTTCAAGTAAATATTTATATGTCAATATAGACAAATAATCAATCACTTCATTCAAATAAATTTTTTTCAATGTTTATATTCAACAAATATTCCCTTTTCAATTTACGTCCCTAAAGTTACGAATTTTCAAATTTAATTTATTTTATTTTCTCTTCAAATTTAAATTTCATTACAATTACATTGCGTCACGCACTTAACAATTAATTTACAAAGTTTTAAAATATTCTAATTCCTTTTCTATCTTTTTTGCAATCGGTAATTTTCGAAAATATCTACAGCAAAAAAAATATTTCGTTAATTTTAATAGTTCAGAAATCCAGAGACAATTTAATTTTTCTTTAAAAAAAATATAAAAATTTACAATAGCAACACTATCAATTTTCCTTATATCTTTCCTTATACATAAGTAATAATTATAATTATGCCTATAATTATGAATAACGAACAAAAAATTTCAATATTCAAAATATACCATTTGAAGAAAAGATGCTAGCGACAAAAATTTACCTATCAGAATTTTTCAATATATAAATATATTATTACAATGAATACTAAACGAGAAGTGATTACACACAGGAACGAGAGATAAAAAAAAACTTGACCACTGCAATTGACAAAGTGCTATAAATAAATTAAGTAGTTGGCAATATCGACTTCGTTGACCTTTCGCGGCATTAGATCGTCAAAATGCGCATTCAGAAATTAAAAGAAAGAAAGAAAGAAAGAAACAAGAAGAAAAGAAAAATTTAATACGGTTTCATAAAAAAAAATCCCCCTCCTTCTCCCCCCTCTTCCACTATAAAAGTTCATGAAATCAAAAGGTGACAACGAAATTGCGATAGATTCATTTAAGACCTGATTGCAAGATAATGCTTGACTTTCAACTAAGACCAATCAAACAATTATTCTTCTCTTTTGTTCATTTCTCAAAGCAAATTTAAGCCATCGTGAGAAATATAATGTCCCAGGAAATTTTCACTCAAGGCCATAAATTTTGTTTTTTAATTACAAAAAAATGGATATTTTTACAAAATAATTTACTTTTTGTATTTTACTATTTCCTAAATCAATTTTTTGGTAAAATTGTAATTTTTATTGTTTTTAAAGCAAATTGTATTTTTATCGTTTTTTTTTTTTTGCAAATTTGTTTGTTTTTTGGAAAACTTCCCTGAACATTGCAAATTAAAAAATAAAATTTAATTTAATCGGAAAAAAGAAAACAAATGCGTGTCGATAATAAAGTAAATTTACAAATTGAAAATTAAGAAATTAAATTAATTAATTTATGAAGTGTTGTATTCTATAAGATTAATAATGTTAATAGATTAATTTGTAATTAATTAAAAATTATAAATTAACTTGTAATTAAAATTACTAATAATAAATTAATTTATCATTAATTACTAATAATATTTATAATTAGCAACTAATTACTATAATTATTTACATAATTTGCAATTAATTACTAATATTATTATAATTTCTAATTAATTATTAACAGTATTTTAACTTGTAATCAATTACTGGCGATAATAATAATATTTATAAAATTATTAACAATTTAAAGGGCACTGCTTCTTTATTTTAACAAACAAATAAATAAATGCCTATGAAGTATAATTAATTACGAATAATAAAAAAAATGTATTAATAAATTAAAGAGCTTTGCTCCTTTAATCTAATGAATAAACAAATGCCAATAAATTGTAATTATGAATTAATCAATTATTAATTGAATTTTTAAACATAAATAACATTTTCATTTTAATTAATTATTAATTGCTAATAATACTATTAATAAAAAATACTAATAATTATTATGTAATGAATTACTAATATTTTGAATAACTGCTAATTATTATTATTGCGTATTTTCATTGCTAACACTTTCTTCATTTAATTTTATTCCCTAGAGAATAAAACTTTAACTAAAAAGAAAAATCCCACCACTGTCACCCTCCAATAAATTAATAAGAAAAATTATATTAAAGAAAAGTAAAATAAAATGAATACAAATCTTAATTTTAATTAATTAACTAATTCACCGTCAAAAATTTACACAATCCTTCAACAAACTTTCAAAATCCGACCAGAAATGCAATATATTATTACCGTCTCTACTAAACATTTCAAATATAATTCATTCACTATATTTTACGTTAAAGTTTACGTTAAAAAAAATAATCACCTGATAAATACCAAAAATACCAAAATATTGCCAAAATAATCACATTTTTAATAATTATAGAAACAAAAAAAAACAAAAAAAAAATGTCATTATGCCGAAATAAGACTCAGATTGGAATGCAGTGCACTGTGCTCATCTCATTTATCACGTGACTATTTTCGGCATAGATACACGTGTCACTATTTTTGCATGCCAATTTCTTTTCTCTCAACCCATCCCAATAGTTCACGTGTATTTTCTATTGACTAGTGTCGCACGCAAAAAAAACAAACAATCTCCCTCCTCACGAAACAATTATTAATTAAAAATTCAATAAAAAAAGAAAAAAAAATGTTATCAACAGAAAAAAAGGAAGAAATAATTGAATCTATAGATCTTGTAATTATTTCTCACTAAAAGTTAATTTTAGTTCTTCAACTTTTTCTTCTAAATTGAGAAAAAAATAAATTTATTTTCTCTTTTTAAAATACAAAACCAATTTTCCAAAAATAGAACAAGTTCAGTGTGTCAATTCTAAAAATAATCTATTACATTCCCATTGTTTATAACATCAACAGTGCAATGATCCGTTTATATTGTAGACAACAATAAATTTACAAATGTCATTATTTATCTTTATAAATGGAAAATGGTTTGTTTATTCCTTTCTTTTTTAAATTTATTTTTAAAAAAGAAAATAAATATTGTTTCACAAATGTGTGACGTGTTTTGATTAATAGTACATTTTATTCTCTCAAATTATCATTTGAAAATGATATCTCTATGTGATAATGATGCAGAAAACGCATCATAATCTTTGATAAAACGAGTAACTCACGTCGAGTCACGTACTTTAAAATTGAATGAGATTTCAACTCTTCCTTAAAGATTAATAATACGTTTTCTAAAATTCCATTCATATTTTAATACAATTTACATAATTTAATTCATAATCATTATTTTAATTTAAGCATATATTAATTAATTATTAAATTTAATGAAATGAATTATCCAAATTTGTTTTTATTAAAACGAATTAAAAAATTTAAGAAAATTAATTAAATTAATTAAATTAATAAAATGAATAGTTAATTAACAATTAGATTTGTATTGTTATCTTTCTAATTCTTTCTCCCTTCTTTTATTATAAAAAAAATAACGTAAATATTTTTTATATCATTTTAGATGGAATTGCACACGAAATCATCAAGACCTTCTCCAGAAAAAAATTCCAAGGGCAATGAAACAATGTTTAAAAATGACGTACTATCAGGGTAAGCAAAAAAAGAAGAAGACACATATTGCACATAAATGGACAAATGTTTAAAATTAGTATCACGTCGAAACCTTTTTTTTTCTCAACAAAAATTCAACAACGAAAGAAATTTTTATTTTTTCATATCAATGAAAACAAGTTCTTTTCTCATATATGACATAGTCACTATTTCTGACATAAGTGATAAATAAATAAAAATCAACATCTCCACCTTTATCAACAGTGTGCGAATAAATACTAAAAAAAAATTAAACAAAAAGAACAAAAATATTAAAAATTCCACATAATAACAAGTCAGTGAACTTCATGTAAAGATTAGAAAAAATTAAAATTTAGAAAATTTCTTTAAGAAGAAAAAAAACAATCACGCGCTCAAAGAGAAAAAATTGGAAGAACCTTGTTTATTACAGAATCGTTAAAAATAAATAATATTCTATCAGTGATGATGGCCTTTTGCCAAATGAGAATGTTTTATTTCTTTATATTTTAAATGTCTATCTATTTTAATGTTTATAATGCCACTTTGAATATCCCTCTAATCGTTTGCAATAAATTTTACTCAATATAAGCATTTAACAACAATATAGTTAATCTGATAGGAATTTAATAGAATTTTTTTATCTCCTTTATTCTTCTAAGTCAATAAATTATTTCGCATTACAATAAAATGTAAATTACTCAGTAATCAGTAAAAAGTATTTTACTAGAATTCATTTATTTAATATAATTATTAATATTAATATTAATATTTAATATATTAAATAATTGAATTTCTGCAATATTTTGTAATTTCTCCAAAAATTAAATTTTTTTAAAGTGTTTTCAACTAAAATTCTTCTATAAATCCATTATTTTTAATAATTTTTAAAAAAGTTCTTTGAGAATTTTTAAATTCATTTGTTTACAATTCAATTTTAGTATTACAAAATTTCAATTATTCGGAAATTCTTCAATTAAATAGATTAGAAAATAAAACTATCAAAAAAATAATTTTAAGTAAAATTGAAACAAACTTTTTCAGAAAAATTAATTCTTTTACAGAATTGTTAGTTAAAAGTATAAGAAATTAAAATTAAAAAAAATTTTAATATGAAACTTTTTCAAAATTCAATTTTTTCTAAAAATTCACATTATAATGATTTTAATATTCAATTTTTATCTAAAATTTGAAGTGAAATTTATTTTAATTCAATTATTTAAATAAAAAAAAATAATTTATTTAATAATTGAAATTCATAAAGAATTTTATCAACAAATTTTTAAATAATTGAATTATTTCGACGAATTTTAATAAAAGTTTTAAGAATAATTACATTTTTCTAGGATCCAATTAAAATTGTATTAAAATTCAGCATTGAGTTTTATTATATTTTTAAAAATAATTGAATTCCTAAAAAGAATTTTATTTACGAAAATAATTGAATCTCTGTAAAAATATTATTATTTATGAAAATAATTGAATTTTATTATTTAGAAGAAATCTATAAAAAATTTGTAAATAATTGAATTCCTGTGAAATTTTTATTATTTTATGGAAATAATTAAATGTTTGCGTTGAATTTTATTAAACATTTTTTAAATAATTGAATTTTTTTGGAAAATTTTATTAAAATAGCAAAAATATTAAAAATCATTGAATTGAGGAAATTTTTTGAAAATAATTGAAATTTTGTTCAAGAATTTTATTAAAATTTGTGAAAATAATTGAATTTCGAAGAAGAATTTTATTATTTCTAAAAATAATTGAAATTTTGACGATATAATTTTTAAAAAATTTTGAACATATGTAATTGAATTTCTGCAAAGAATTTTAATTTTAATTTAATATTAACAAAGAACTAATCAATTAATATTTTAACTAATTAAAGTATTTTTATTATTATTTATTTTAATTTTAATTTAATTTAATTTTAACAAAGAACTAATCAACTAATATTTTAACTACTTAAAATACTAACTAACCAAAATACGATTTGATTAAAATGCTAATTAAATAAAATTATATTCAACTATTTCTCTAATTATCTAAAGTTCTAATGAAATATAGTACCTACTATTTAACTTGGGAAAAATTAAAGTTAAAACTTAATAAAATACCTAATTTATACTAATTATAATAAAGCTACCATTTTTAATTTTTTAATTAAAAAATTAATCAATTCTTTTCAATTATCATATTAATTAATCAACAAAAAACAACAATTAATTATTTTTCTTAGCCAAAACATTAAAAAAAAAAATTATAATCCAAAAAAATAATTTTAGAATAAAGTAGATATTACAAAAGAGTAGAAGAAAAAATTTAACAAAATATAAAAAAAATTTACATCAATTAAATAAAAATTTAACATGAAAATTAAAGAGGAGAAAAAAGAATATATCGGCCGTAAATTTATCTTTAAAGCATAATAACTGAATTTACGATTTCACATTATGAGTTGAAATTGCACTCATTTTTCATTGCATTCGAGATGATAGTAATAAAAATTCACTATTTATAACCAAATCGTCAGTTTGGTAAAACATTCTGCACTGAGATATGACTCGAAGTCTATATAAAAGCAATGTGAGTTTATAATTTTTCTCTATACATTTTCTCAAATCATCATCGTTTCTATTCAATCAATTTTTTTTTCCAAATAATCAAAATATTATATTTTTCAATTTTTTCTTTAAACTGGCAAAAAATTGTTACAAATAAATAAAAATAAATGTTCCTTTCAGACGAGAATAAACTTTTTTTTCTAAATTAATAAAAAAAAAAATAGAAAATGTCTTAAATTTAAAAAAAAATAATTACTGGATAATATGTATAAAATTATTTATATTATATTAATAATTATAATTTATTTAAACAAATTATTTTAACCAAACATAATTTATTTAAACAAATTATTTAAACCAAATATAATTTATTTAAACAAATTATTTAAACCAAATATAATTTATTTAAACAAATTATTTAAACCAAATATAATTTATTTAAACTAATTATTTAAACCAAATAAAATTTATTTGAAACAAATAAAAAATATAGTTGTCTCCGAGTTAAATATAATTATATTAATTCAAAATTATTTAATATAATAATAATTATTAAAAATATATTTAATATAATATAGGTATATTTTATACATAATTGTCCATATTTTCAAAACATTGACACATTAAGTCGTGTGTAAATCGCAATGTTTATTATCAGTATTTACTTAATCAAATTGCAAGCTTGATAGTCTTAAGTTCGTTCTTATTTTTCTTGCTCATTACTTCTTTTTTCTTTTGTTTGTCTTTTTTTCTTTCAATTGCAAGCGATTTTTTCTTTAAAGGAATGGGACAACCTATGGAGCCTTTCAATCAAAAGATCCGATACTATCGATGGAGAAGGGGATTAACGAAAAACAAGGTGACGATGGCCACGGAATGGGCTCGCATCATCCAACCTCGTGAGTGTCATTTCTAATTACCAATTACTTTTCACTAATTTCAAATTAGCGCAGAGATAAAGTAACTCGAAAATGAAAAAAAACTAACGACTTTTTCTTAAATCATAAATATTCTTAAAATAAATTTTGAAGTTTATACACTTCAAATAATGTTTAAAATACCAGGACCCATGGACATTCTTTATTATTATTATTATTAATTATAGTAACAATAATAATTTATATTTATATTTTATAATAGCAAATGTTATGAGCGCGAAACACGTTACTAAATTTATTATATTATTATGCAAAATTACAGAATTTTTTATTTTCAAATATTAACTTCAACTTTTAAATATTTTCTGATTCAAAATTTAAAAGATTCAATTCCTACATAATTAATTATTATTGTTTACATACTTTCAAAAATTTTAATAAAATTCTTCGATACAATTCAATTATTTTTATAAATAATAAATTTTTAAGGAAGTCAATTATATTCAAAAATAATAAATTCTCCACAGTAATTGTAATAATTTTTAATCCTATAATAAACACGAAAGTATTAAATTATTTTAAAAAATGTTCAATAAAATTTATCGAAAGAATTTAACTACTTTTATAAAAAATTAAATTCTTCTCAAGAATATTCATTTATTTTCATTGCAATTTTAATAAAATTTCTCGAAGAAATTTAATTGTTTTTAAAAATTGTAGAAAGAAAATTTTTTGAAAGAATCCAATTATTCTCAAAAGTTTAGATAAAAAATCTTTTCAATAATTTCGATAAATTTTTTTGCAAGAATTTCATTAAATTTCGTAAAAATATTAAAATTTTGAAAATAATTGAAATTTAAAAAAGAATTTTTTTAAAAACTTTTGAGAACAATTGAATTGTTTATAAAAATTTTATCACAATTTTTAAAGATAATTGAACCAGTTAGAGAAATTTTATTAAAATTATATTGAAAATAATTGAATTCCTTTGGAGTATTTTATTATTTATGAAAATATTTTTATCTTATGAAGAATTATCTTATTTATGAAAATAATTGAATTCTTGCGGAGGATTTTACAATTCATAAAGTTAATTGAATTGTTGCGAAGAATTTTATCTGAATTTTTGAAAAATAATTGAATTTTTTAAAGGAATTTTATTAAAAATATGGAAAATAATTTTTTTAAAAAGAATTTCATCAAAATTGTCGAAAATAATTGAATTTATATTAAAATTCTTGAAAATAATCGCATTTAATTAATATTTTAAAAATAATTAAACCTGCTAGAGAAATTTTATTAAAATTATCTTGATTATAATTGAATTTTTTTTTAGAAATTTTATTAAAATTGTATTGAAAATAATAGAATTTCTCAGAAGAATTTTATTATTTATTTTAGCAGAATCGTTGAACATAATTGAATTCTTATTAAAACTCTTAAAAACAATTGAATTTAAATAATATTTTTAAAAATAATTGTATTCTTTCGGTAAATATTATTAAAATTACTTATATTGAAAATAATTGAATTCCTTTGGAGTATTTTATTATTTATGAAAATATTTTTATCTTATGAAGAATTATCTTATTTATGAAAATAATTGAATTCTTGCGGAGGAGTTTACAATTCATAAAGATAATTTTATTGTTTCGAAAAATTTTATCTGAATTTTTGAAAAATTATTGAATTTTTTTAAAGGAATTTTTTTTAAAATATTAAAAAGAATTTTTTTAAAAAGAATTTCAACAAAATTGTCGAAAATAATTGAATTTAATTAATATTTTTAAAAATAGTTAAATAGTTAAAATTGTATTGAAAATATTTTATTATTTATGAGAATAATGAAATTCTGGCAAAAATTTTATTAAAATTTTCGAATAATAAACAAGAATATTTAATATTATGTTTTTAATAAGTGAAATCTTTAAATTTTGAATCTATAATCATTCAAAAATTGATTCATTTGCTAGTTATTGAAATAATTAGTAAAGAAGAATTATAAAGAAAAAATCTATTAGAAAAATGAAACGAAATTAAAATTTTCTCGAATATTCATGAGTCCGATTAATGCCTTAAAAAACTAAATAATAAAAAGAATAATTTTAGGTACTTGGAAACGATGATGCACCTGTTCAAAGGTAACGTCGGTTCGGGAATCTTTGCACTGGGCGATGCGTTCAAAAATGCTGGATTGTTGCTTGCACCACCACTCACGATCTTTCTTGGAATCATCTGCGTTCACGCGCAACATATTCTTGTACGTAGACTGCCTCGTAATGCATCGCACCCGTTCATCTTAACAATTGCAACTTCGGGTGGCGTTATGCCAATAATCTCCAGAAGTAGGTACTATTGACAGTACTATCAAATAAAATTAACAATCGTCACTCACTGGACCCTGGGTTCAATAAAACTTTTTTCTTTATCCACTTTTTAAGTTCGGAAACTTTTCCAAAAATCGTAATCACAAGTAATATCCTTCGGTTTTCACTAATCACATTTCACTTCGATTTTCCATCCTCACAGTATCGTTCTTCAATCACGTTCTGAAATAAAACAAAAACAGATTCAATTATCGTAAAATGAAAGAGAAAATAATTTCGCGTTTGTATTTTGAAAAGAAAACAGGGACATCTGAGTGGCAAATTTTATTTCTATTTTTGGAGTCAAAACTCGTGTGTCGAAGTGACCAAGTTGAAGTCCACATTTTTGTTGATCAACGAGAAAAATTTTTCAACAAGTATATTTACTGAAAAATCGCAAAGATTTTTATTTATATTTTAACAAAAATATTGTTGCACATTTCTTGCGCTCTTTAATTAATTTTTAAAAAAAAGTAAGTAGTAAAAAAATACACTAAATTTTACTACAAAAAATCGTTTTAGTCGAAAAGAATCAACTTCTTCAGGACTTCAACTTCGAGTCGAAAGGAGAGATTCGAAAAAAAAAGAAAACATAATTGTATCTTTTTATTAAGTAGCCCATAAAAAATTATTTTGATGGAGGCGCGATATTGAAGCTTCAATTGAATAATTTGATGTTTCAAGATTTTCTAATTGAGCATTTTTACAGTTGAAATGCAATGAAGAAGTAACTAGAAGACTGGGAGATTCAATTACAACACAACCCGGTTTTGCTGGAACGGTAGAATTATGTTTTGCAACAGGTCCTATTCCATTGAGGAAGTATTCCGTTTTCATGAGGTAAATTTCAACAATTATTAAATGCAATATTTATCATTTATAGTTCATCAAAGTTTCAAAAAAAAATTTCGCTTTTTAATTGCTTCTGTTTACTTTTTAATCGAAAATCAATTATACTTCACTCAATTAAAATTATTGAAATAAATATAATGCAAAAAAAGGGATGTGATTCTATGTTCGCCATATATAATAAGAAATAACTTTTTTGAAGCACCGCGTCGGTTAATATAATAATTAACTACTGTATGATAAAAAGAAACACGTTTTGCAAATACCTTTTTCCATTTTCTGATAATATGTCATTAGTATGCCAATGTCACGGAATCATTCTCGAAGAAAAGTCATTGATTCGAATGGATGTCTGATTCAATAAAATGATAATCGCCAGTATTTTTCCACACTGTAAAGAAAGAAAGATTGAGACATTAATTTCTCAAGATGACAAACTAGTGAAATATTTTATCCATTAATTATTAAAGTTTGCTTTCGTTTCTATGAGTTTATTGCCATTTTTTAATAAAATTAAATTTTTAAATTCAAATATTGATATAGAAATAGTTTTTTTTAATCAATAAATAATATTTGTATAATTTTCTAATGATCAATATAAAATATTTATAATTGAAGAAAGAATTTATCATAAAAAGAAAAAAATAATTTACAGAAAGGTAATATAACAAGTAAGAATATTAAAAAATATTTATAAATGAAAATTCTAATTTAAACACAAATTTTTGCACAATTAACTAAACATTGAAAATTTTCATTCCCGCAACGTTTACGACATTTCTAGAAATTTTCAAAATTAAAGCATTATTCAATTCTGAAAAGAAGTACCCAGAATCTACGAGTCATAAAATTGACTTAAAAAGAAAAATGTTTAAAATCTGAGAGACAACACTTTTGCCAAAATGATCAACTTCCTCAATAAAATATTGTGCATCTAAAGTTTCTTCAATGGCTCAAATATAGACAGTAAATTATTTTTCATGACTCACAATATATATCGTATAAGCACAAATAATATAACGAATTACTTCCTATATGAATAGCAAAGTGTCTCATATTTATTTTAGCAAACAAATATATTAATTTTAATATTTTTAGAAAATTTACTTAAACTATTTCATAAATAACTGCGGCAACTATTGACATTTCTCTGTTGTTAATTGTTAACCTCAACACGTGCGGCGACATGTTTTTTTTAACTTTTAGCAAATTATTGACAAAACATTTCGAAATGTCAAGAAAAATTATTTTCAATATTTGTAATTGCAAGTTTTTTAAAAATGTGAAACTGATTAACATTGGAAAATTAAATTTAAATTAAAAAATTTATATAGAAATTCAAAAAATAAATTACTGACAAAATTAAAATTTTGTTTTAAGCAAAAGAAAGCAAGGAGTTGAACTAGTTAAGAATTAGTATTAAAAATTATTAATTACCTTTCTGGGAGTCAAGACACCAAGACGCTTTCGAGGTTATGTTTTTCCTTGTTTCCCCTTGTCGACATCCTTCCGGCTATTGGCTATGAACTTTTTCTTCCTTCCGATCGACTGCTTGTCCGTTGGCTTCTTCTCCTTTCTTCATTACACTTGTGTTGGTTGTTGAATGGTTCTCCTTGTGACATCCTTCCGGCTGACTTCTTTCGTCCCTGACTTCTTGTCCATTGGCTGATTCTTCTTTCTACACTCGGCTTCGTTCCATTGGTTCCCTTGTGATTGTTTGCCTTTGTGCAACGATGCCGCTATTCTTCTTTGTTTGAGCAAAAGTCTTCTTTGGTTACTAAAAACACAGCAAACTTCACTTTCGGTGCTGTGGTTGAATTTTTTTTGCTCAAGAAGCGGTTGAGGTTCTTTTCACACTATGCACCTGTGAAAAGTATTTCCGCACTTAAAGTTGACGAACACATTCGATTTGTCCATTTTGAGGTTATATTGCACGGCTGCGGCTACTCTCATCCTTGCCGACATCCTTCGGCTACCAACTTCTTGAAGACACTAAAGATTCACGCACTTTACTTTTTTTCTTGTCTTCAACTTTTCTTCTTGGTTGTTCTGACAGTTGGCTAAGCCTAGAATCATTGGATATTTTCTTCTTCTTCTACTTTTTCTTAAGAACCACGCACTTGAAACACACATCCGAATTGTAGATTCAGTTACTGTCCACGATTCTTTGTTATTCGGGACAGAGATGGTAGCTCCTATGTTCTGACTGAACATAATACACCCCTCGAATCAATGCAGCTTTTGATTTGATGCAAATTTGAATTTAATGATTCAACTCTTTCTCTTCGGATGTCTCTTGGTGAAAAGCCCCTCCACCACGACAAGGTAGACATCCATCGGAGGGGATTAGTATTCAAACAAGTGTTCCAATTTCTGTCCGTCTTAGGATTCGTCTCATCCTTTTTGAAGCAGTAGCATTAACTTGGTGGTCTGCTTGGCGGCACTCAACCTTGTGAAAATCGGCTAACTCATCGATATTGTCCGGACAGGATATGGTAATGTTCCTCTAAAATGTTGCCAAACAAAAAAAATTAAAATTTGTTTTAAGCAAAAGAAAGTTTAATTGGTTAAGAATATTTACCTTTCTGGGTGTCAAGACGCTTTGGAGGTTATGTTAAATGGTTCTCCTATCTGCTCCTTGTCGACATCCTTCCGGCCATTGGCTAAACTTTTTCTTCCTTCTGATCGACTTTGTATTTTTGTCCATTGGCTTCTTCCTCCTCCTCCAGAAGGCTTGTACTGCATGGCTGAACTTCTTCGCCCTTTCAGTTGACTTCTTGTCCATTGGCTGATTCTTCTTCCTCCACTAGGCTTCGTTCCATTGGTTTCCCTGGTATTTTGTTGTCCTTTGTGCACTTGATCGAGGATAACTACTACAGGCAGTTGGCTAGTCTTCAATACTTCTTTCGAAGTATATGACGTTATTTATAAAAACTTCTCGAAACACGCAACGCAATGAAGGAACTGTATGAAATGAAAAAAAATTATATTGTTAATTCGAATTTATGTCTGAACTAAACATACAAAATTGGTGTTTTTTAAAAATATCCCTAGACTAGACTAAACTGCATATCTCAGTCAATTTACTACTCACCCTCTACTGTCTTTTCTGATTCGGCTACCTTTCATAACTGTTGCTGTATTTCCAATCTTTTTCTAGAACGCCACGATTCCACTTTTTTGGTTACTCTGCCATCCCGGAACTGTAAGGGCATCTACTTCTTTTTTGATACTGTAAAACTGAGGTCCATACGACTTCTGCTTGAAGACGTCGTCTTTAAAGGAGTAATATTGATGAACTCACACTGGATAGACTAGCATGTTTCCTGCAACTGCTTGTCCCCCGATCTTCTCGGTGAACCGTTATTCCTCATCCAACGACGATCTGCACTCGATTAGACTTCGGCCTTCTGTTTCTTTCCAAGAATATTCTTTCTTTGTCGTTTCTTCTTTCATTTTGATAATTTTGTTTGTAGATGACTTCTGACTGCTTGAAGGACTTCTGCTTCTTATCGGCGACTAGCACTACAAACGTAAAGAAACTTTACGATCTCAGTCGATTCACAACTCATCTACTTCCATTTCTGATTCGGCTTACCTTTCATAACAGTTGCTGTGGAAACTTCTTCTACAATTTCCACTATTTTTGGTTACTTCGACATCCTGGAACTGCAAGTGCTTCTACTTCTTTTCTGAGACTCCAGAACTTAAGTCATTCATTTTGTCATCTTTGTTTAGAGATGACTTCGATATTGATGAACACACCGTAGTTGAACTAACACACTGATGAGATAATCTAGGATCCAATCGTAGAAGTACTAACTCTTCTTTGTTATTGCGCTTATTCTCTTGACATTCCTCTCTTGGTAGTAAGGTTGACATGGATGTCAGGATGAATATCATGCACAAAATCATCCTTAATGGTTATCTTATGGAAGTTTGCTGAACTTAATCTTGCAGACCTCTTCAAACATGTCTGCATGCTCTGCCTTGTCTTCCAAAAGCATACGACAAAATTGACGCCTCATGTTGGGAGTAGATGGTACACCTAAGCAAATAATTTTAAATTTATAAATTGCTCTTTGGATGTCTTTTTGTTTCTGAACACTTTAAATTTAGTTCCACCCGAATAGTGGCTACTAATTGAAACAAATATTAGTTAAAAATTATGAATTACCTTTCTGGGAATCAAGACGCTTTCGAGGTTATTAGGTTCTCCTTGTTGACATCCTTCCGGTCATTGGCTGAACATCTTCCTTCCGATCGACTTCTTGTCCATTGGCTTCTTTTTTATCCTCCAGTAGGCTTGTGTTGGTTGATGGATGATTCTCCTTGTTGCTCCTTGTGACATCCTTAGGGCAATGTCCCAGTTTCCGAACACTTTAAATTTGGTTTCACCCAAAAAGTGGCTACTAATTGAAACCAACATTAGCATAGTAGTCGACTTCTAGGTTTGGCTAATTGAAACCACTCCTAAACTAACCAAAACCTGGAATATTCACAGTATCATCATTATCCACCCTGTAAATAATTATCTAAGCATACTCCACTAAATCACCAATTTAACAAAATCAATCACATTACAATGTTACTTTAAAGTATAATTATTTTGTCTTTACAGAAAATTAGTTAATGTCTTTCTATGTGTTACGCAACTCGGATTCTGCTGTGTCTATTTTGTCTTTATATCCACAAATATGAAACAGGTAAGAAAATTTGACTTTCACGTAAACTAATAAGTAGTAAATAAAAATGAAATTTTACCTTGTTATCTTCTTCCTCTCTAAGGTACTTGACGTTTACGGATGGGAGTTGAGTGTCAATCTTCACATGGCTATTATTCTCATACCAATAATTTTGAGTACTTGGATTCGAAATCTCAAGTACCTGGTGCCAGTTTCTTCAGTGGCGAATTTTCTCGTTCTCTCCGGCTATATGGCCACAATGTACATTATGTCCCACGATCTACCTCCAATCAGTGAAAGAAGATATGTTGCAGACTGGAAAGCCATTCCTCTATTTTTCGGCACTGTGATCTACTCCTTCGAAGGCATTACTCTGGTAAAGTCTCTAATTTTGTTCCTTATTTTCCAGAACTATATGCTTTAATTTTTCGCTGCAATTGATAAATAAAATGAATTAAAACCAACAGGTATTACCTTTAAAAAACGAAATGAAAAAACCAAGAAATTTCAACAAAACTCTTGGAGTCTTGAACGTGGGAATGGTGTTCGTTGGTGTAATGTTTGTCTCAATGGGATTCCTCGGTTACTTGAAGTACGGGGACACAGTTAAGGGCTCAGTCACCTTGAATCTCGAATCTGGACCGTAAGTAATTTTACTATTGAATTTCACCGATATTAGTTTCACTGTAAAAGAAGAAAAATTATTAGTCAAAAAAAATCTTGGATCGGGGATTTAGTAACTTCTACCTACTTCTGTCCTCAACTTTGGTATTTTTCTCTATGGTAATTAAAGAAACAGAAACAGAAGTAGGTAATCACCAGATCCAAATAAAATGAATTTTCTCTTGAACTTTACTTTCATTGATTGTAATTTTTTGCTTGTACAATAAAGGGGGCAAGGAGATGATACAGATAATTTCGTCCATACAAGGTCAATATAATAATTTACAGAAAAGTTGCATGAGTTAAACTTGAAATTTTTTCCGACATGACAATAAGAGAGGAAATGGAAAAGTTGCACTTACAACTGCAATTCACGACTGAGTTTTCAATTTAACGCAAAACAAATTGAGCATGATTTTAGTGTTTTAGATATTGTGATTCTGATTTTGCTGATGTGTTTAGGATTTAAAAGAAGGAAAATTTACTAAATTATTGTATATTTTTTGCAGATTACCTCAATGCATAAAATTGGCAATTTCACTCAGTATTGTGTTGACCTACGCCTTGCAATTCTATGTGCCAATTGCTATAATCTGGCCGAAAATTCTCGAACAATATGGTCCATTTCAGTATCCGGTTGCTAGCGAAATTCTCTTCAGGTCAAGTTGTTGTTTCTTAACTTGTAAGTAATTCTTTCTGTTCCTATTAATTCGACTTTTAGTCTTTTACTCTATCTCAAAATCTGGACTATTTTGAAATCAGATTTCAAAAGCTTTTCGGAAGATTATTAACCGATTCTTGATTCTGAGATACGTTAAAATTTGATCGGTAAAGAAAAACGAAAACTTACCTCTTTTCAGTCATTCTCGCTGAGGCAATTCCGCATTTGGGTCTTTTCATCTCACTCGTCGGTGCAGTGAGCAGTACAGCATTGGCACTTCTCTTCCCGCCAATAATCGAAATGGTCGTCTGCTGGCAGAGTCCAAAATTGGATAAAATGACAATAACAAAAGACATATTCATATTGCTAATTGGCCTTTTGGGATTCGCTACAGGAACTTACGAGAGTATTACAGCGATTGTCAGTCAATTCAGTAAAAGTGATTGACAACAAAAAATTCCATCATTCACCACATACATAAAAACAATTTTGACAATAATTCGACTTTGAAAATTAGTTTTTAGATCCGAACATAGCTTTCTTTTCGGTTGGAAAATTTTTACCTAAAAATTAAAATAATATATAGTGTTTGTTGATTTAAAAAAATGGTCAGGTTCAGCTGCCTCTGTAAACTAAACATGTATATAAAATTATTAGCTTTTAAGTGCATAGTATTATCTACATTACGTAAATATAGAATTTATTATATTAAAGAAAAAAACAAGTATTGTGAAGTGACAGAATCTCTAATCAAGAAACAGTGAAATTATATTCAAAACATATGTTAAAATTAAAAACAAAAAACTTATATTATAAGGACTATGGGAACAATGATAAAACAACTTCTCTTTTTTTTATTGATAAAATTTATAAATACGCAGTTTTTAGTTTGCAAAAAGGCAAAATACATCGAAGAAAACTTTTTTTTCGAGTAACATTGAGATTGCAATAGCCACACAGCACAGCGGTTTTATATATACCTAATATATATGATTAGATTTTTGTTTCTTTATTTATTTCTTAAGCTGGTGTAAGTACAAGAACTGAGAAACCCATTTCGTCTGGATTTCGTTTCATATATTCTTTGCAAACACGAGCGGCGTCTTCCAAAAATGTAGAGGGACTAGAAACCCCATGATTTATTGGACCATCTCTTCGTCCGTCTGTAAAAATTATTACGAATCAAATCATTTAATTCAAATAAATTTTATTTCAAATAAAATTAAATAAAAAAAAATAAAAATTAAAGAAGAAATTAAATTAAATTGAAATAAAAGAAAGAAAATTAAAAGAAAAGGACGAAAATAAGATTAAATTTGAACTTGTAAATATAAAGTAAAATTAAAGAAAGTAATTAAACTGAAAAGTATATATAAAAATAAATAAAGTATATAAAAATTCAAAAATCAAGTACAATCAGATTTTATATCAAAAAAGATATTTTTAAAAAGAAAAATTTATACCCAATTCATAAATGTGACCATCTTTTTCAACAAATGTCACAAAGTGATGATAGGATTCATCAGGAACCTGTAAGATATTATAAATAAAATAAATAAAATTAGAAACTAGAAAATGACATAAAATAAAGAAAAACAATAACAAAATCTATTAAAAAGGAACAAAAAAAAGTGGTTTAAATTTCACTGTCAAATCCAGTCATTCTATAGTCATAAATCGTAAAGAGAATAGACTTTTATATTTTATAGGCGAAATTTATTATAGGGCAACGAATACAAAAAGATACCTCCTAAATAATAATAATTATATTATTATTATTACATTATAATTTCTTTGCTCAAAGCGACAAAAGATTATAATAATAAAAAAGAAAAAATTGTATCGCCCTTTTTTATTATATGAAACAGAAAAAAAAAGATAATACTTTTATTGTAGATTATTTATCTATTATATTAAAAATTGATACTTCCTGATAATTATTGTCTCATTCATGCGTTTCTCCATATTAATTACCAATTTTTTAAGCACAACTTTTATCAGTAAATAAAATTATTTAGTCTTTACGCTTTTTTCCAGTCTTTGTTTTACTTTTAATACAACTTTTATTGATCTGATGGTAAAAAATTATTTACTGCTTGCGATTTTTAATTTAAAAAAAAAATTTTTTTTAGGGATTTAATTACTTATTAAATTTAATTACTAACTAATTGGTATAAAATCATACAACCTCTGTTTGACCTTCTCTTGCAAATTCTTTATGAGTGTCGGCAATGTCCCCAGCGCTCATTAAACGTTCCCCGCGTTCAGTTGGTGACAAATTTTTAGTTTCTTCTAAAAATGATTTTAGCATTCCATCTTGCAAGTCGAGCCTAAAAATAAAAACATAAAAAATAATTTCTTTAAATTAACAAAAACTTTTTTTTTAAATCCTCAGAAATTTTAATGATTTCAGTTAACAAATTATCATAAAAAATAAATAAATCTAAACGATCATAAATTTAAATTTAATTCAATTTTCTAAAATTTTACCACATCCTTCTAAACTATTCAATTATTTTTTTAAATAGTAAAATGTTTACAAAAATTCAATGATTTTCAAAACAATTTTAATTGAATTCCTCGGAAGAATTCAATTTTTTAAAAAAAATGTTAACACATTTCGAAAAAATTCAATTTTTTCTGAAATTTTAATAAATTCTTCGAAAAAATTCAATTATTTTTATAAATATAGTAAAATTCTTTGTATGAATTCAATTATTTTCAAAACAATTTTAATTCAATTTCTCGGATGAATTCAAATATTTTTAAATATTTCCATAAATTTCAATTATTTCCTAAAATTTTAATAAATTCTTCAAAACAATTAAACTATTTTTATAAATACTAAAATTCTTTGCAGGAATTAAATTATTTTCAATTTAATTTTAATAAAATTCTTTTTCATAAAATTCAATTGCTTTCAAAATTTTCAATTAAAATTATTAAAGAAAACTTCATTAGTTTAAAAAAAATTCAAAGAAATTCCTCAAAAGAATTTAATTACAATTTTTAAAAATTGTAATAAAATTCTTTGCGAGAATTCAATTATTTTCCTAAATTAATAAAATTCTTTGAAAGAATTCTATTATTACCAAATTTTTTAATAAAATTCTTTGCAACAATTCGATGATTTTCAATCCATTTTTTTTTAAATTGAAAATATTTGAAAAGAAAATTTATAAAATAAATAATATTAACTCACTTATCGACATTATTAGCTAAACTGTGAATTAAAGCAATTGTTCCACAAGCATTTGATATAAATTGTTTCAAATAATAAACATTCGGAGAAATTGTTGCACTGCCATTTGTTTCATTATCTTCTTTTGTTACACGATTTTTCTCCTGTAAAAAAATTAATATTTTTATTTCCATATAAAGCGCGTTATAAGAAGAAAATATCTATTTGTATTTATAATAAAAAGAAATGTAGATTTTAGGGGGGAAATTTCTTAGAAAAATATTTTAATAATTTCTCCAAAAATGTTTCCCTACCGTGTCTGAAAGTGGATACAATAAAATCATGGCAAGAACTGGTTTCGTTAGGATGGCCAGTAAATCTGGTTCTAATCCATAGACATCGACGATATTCCATTTTGTTGGGACGCCAAGTTTATGGAACAACTAAAAATAATATTAATATCTAAATATTTCTTAACTGAAAAATAATTTTTAATATTTTATTATCATAAAAATGTGTCTAATCAATAAAAGAAAAAAAATTACTGACGAAACTAATGACATAAATTTCATAGTGTACTGTATGTATAAAATATACAAATAAAAAAAATTATTTATACTAAAATATTATAAAATAAATAATTAATACTGTTTACTTTGAAATAAATAAAGAAAATATTACTAAAATAAAATACAACAAAAAAAATAAATTGAAAAAAATACAATAGAAGAAACAATGTTAATAAATGCTACGTAAATAAATTTCAAAAAATAAATTTTCTAAAAAACAACTTACTGACAATGTTTTCCTATTATAATAAAATAATTTCCTAAAATAAAAACAAATAATATAAAAATTGTCAATTAGAGAAAATAATAAAATTTTTAAAAACATAACAAAAAAAAGTAAATTAAAAGTAAGGTGCAAAAATAAAAAATAGATCTTACCAAAAAAAATAAGGGCGTGTCAGTAGTGAAAGAAAAATTTCATATAATATATTTTCTTTATCGCAAAACTCACCTTTGTCATAACCTAAAACAAAAGAAAATATAACGATAAATACACTGAATATTCGACAAAAAAAAAATATATTTTAGAGTAAATTAATCATTCAATTACCTCTGGATTTGATTCTAATGGTACCCAAGACATTTTTTGCTTTTCCATCTTTTTTTCTTTATTTTTAGAAACACCAATTTCTCCTGTGTCACAACAAAAGCGTCGTCAAAGCCGGCAGAAGCGACGTATGTAACTTTTCTCAAGAATTTATCGAAATTATCAAACTGGGGGAGAAAATTCTCGAATTTATTCGCAATATTTCCGGAGAATATTCTCTCTGCGCATAAAAGAAAAAATTTAAATTTATATTTAAAAAAATGTAAATGTTTTTAAAAACATTTAGTAAAATAGGAAAAAAAATATTAAGTTACCAAGCAGTAAAAAGTGGTGGTAAAGTAGTAAAATTATTTAAGAAATATAATGTTAAATTAAAAATAAAATTTTAAATCAATTTTTTGTTTAAATAATAAATGTAATTTATCATTACAAACAGTTTGACAAATATAAAAAAATGAATATTTTTCTAATTTGTCGAATATAATTGACAAATAAATAAAAATAAAATTGTAGGTACATTAAAATCAATGATAAAAACTTGATACGCTTACAAGAGTGTAAATTGGATTGCTATGTGTTAGGCGCACTGAATATTTTTTTATTTCTTTCTTTTGGGTATTTGTTACTGATTTTATTTAAAAAAACATTTTTTAATTATATTATTAATTATATTATTAATTTTATTTTTTATATTTATTTTAGTTAATTTATTTATTTTATTAATTTTTCTTTATTTAATTTTTTTAATTGATTAAGAAAGAGGCGAAAGTTTTTACTTTCCTATTATTATTATTTTTTTATTGTTTTATTTTTTTTATATTAATTATTTTAACTATTTTTGTTATCTTATTAATTTTTCATTACTTGACGTTTTCGATCCATTGAAAAAAAGGCGAAAGTTTTTATTTTCTTATTGTTATTTTTATCACATTCCTATTGTTTTATTTTTCTATATTTATTTTAATTATTTTAGTTGTCTTATTAATTTTTCTTCATTTCATTTTTTCAATCGTCTGAAAAAGAATCGAAAGTTTTATTTTTTTTGTTTTTTAATTCTTTTATTATATTATTTATTTTTTTTTTTTGTATTATTTATTTGATATATTTATTTTAATTTTTTAGTGCAATTTTTCTCAATTGATTAAAATTAGAAACAAATTCAATATCTCAATTTCCTTAAAAATATATGATGTGGCATAAAAAAAAGTACAGCGAAACAAATTGAAAAATTATTCAAATTATTTTTCCTCAATTTCAATGAAATTTGAAATGAAGTATGCGAATTATTCCAGAAACACGTGTTTAAGACACTTTGAATATAAATTTAAATATTAACATGATATATAGAAAAAAATATCCAGTTCACAGAAATCAAGCCATTCATTATTTAATTAACGTACACTATAATTATTACTCAAACGAAGTGTAATATATAATAAAAAAATAATCCTTATAAAATTAATAATATTTATCTACTCAACATAAATCAGGATAACAAACAAACAAAAAAACTGGTAGTAAATTTACGGCAAAGACTAAAATTGAAAATAAATTCTCTACAAAGTATATTATTCGCACTTCCCCTATCCTTGCAATTTAACACATTCTTTATTTTTTTTTTGCTAGCAAAGATTGAAAAAATATAATTTACAAAACATTGTCATTGCGTATATACACTGTCACACTGCTAAGTGGAGCGTAAATTGTGAGTCACTGATGCAGGAAAATAAAAGTGCGATGCTTATTGTCCTTTTTTGTCCATTTATCATTCATAAAACGATAAAACGGAAATTCTATGATTACGTGGTTTTTCGCATTATTTTTTTTCAGAAGTCGATCATTTGTTCAAATTAAATAAAAAAAAAAGTTTCTTCTCATCTCAAAACAATGGAAAAATATTCAGATAAATATTTTTCTTTAATCTCACTTAGTTGGCTAAATGGAATTATTGTTATTGAAACGAATTGTCATCTCAAGTAAAATTCTATTTAACCATTTAGTCAAATATTTAGCTGAATATTTAAAATTAAAAATTATTTAAAATTAAAATTTTTGCTAAATAATTCAGCTAAATATTTACTCGAGAATTTCGGCAAATGACAATTTACTCAAATGATCATAGAAATATTCTGACAAATTTTTATTACACCGAATATAATTAATATTTTACTTTTAATAAAATTTATATTTAATAATTTAATACAATATTAAAATTTCTCTAAATAAAAAATTTAATGACAATAAAAAATCACGCATCATGATTAAAAGAAAGAAATAAATTAAAAAATGATTAAGAGAAAGAAATGAAAAATATAATCGATTCGGTTAGAATAATATTCGTTTTTCATATTACGTTTCGTAGTAAATGCAGAAATTTTAATGAATTATTAAAAAAAAATTTATGAGATAGCAATTAAGGGGGAAAAATTAAACACTTACAATTGGCATTAAGACATAACTTTAGCTAAAGAACTGTGAAAGAAATAAAGAATATATATTTAAAGTTTCATTGAGACTCAATTTCATTCACATTAAGTTAAATTCAAACGCTCTCCTTATTTTTCAATTCGATAAGGATCAATTCGTGATTTTCTTCAATGAATATAAATGCAACAAGAAAGCGTTTGAATCGTGGGAAGAAAAAATAAAATAATAAATTTATAATTAGATGGAAAATATAGTAAAACAAAAAATTAAAAAAAAGAATCTAGATGCAGAAAAATCGAGAAAATGGAAAAACTAGAAAAAATGAAAAAACTAAATAAAAAATCGAAAAAATAAAAAAACTGGAAAAAAGTAAATGAAAAGAAAAAATAGAAAAAACGAAACAAGTAAGAAAAACTATAAAAAACGAAAAAAGTAGAAAAACTAGAAAAAACGAAAAAAATAGAAAAACGAGAAAAAACGAAACAAGTAGAAAAACTAGAAAAAATGAAACAAATAGAAAAACTAAAAATAATTAAACAAATAAAAAAAAAGAAGAAAAATCTAAACAAATAGAAAAACTAGAAAAAAGGAAAAAAAGAGAAAAATCGAAAAGATAGAAAATCTAGAGAAAAAAGAAGAGATTTGAAATAAGAAAAATGAAATCGGAGAAAAAAATAAATATAAAAAGTGGAAAACGATAGAGAAATTGCTACTTTGAATCACCTGAAGACAGAATCCAGGTAGTGAGGAGTTTAACCAATTATGCCCCCTTTTCCCCTCTTCAAAGTAGTCCCACTCTACAATTCTATGACTTGGGGCCTGAAAACCCCTACCAAAGGTCCACACAAGGGCCCCTCTTCTTTTCTATACACGCTGTGAAAGTAATTCTCAGTGATTCTCAACTTTTTTTGCAAAAAAAGAAAAAAAAAAAGAAAAAAGAAAAATTGAAATATGCCTCGAGAGGGTGGAATATTATTGAAGGCGGAACCGCAACCTTCAAGACTTATTTTATCAGAAGGACGACCAGCGAAATTTAATAAGATTTAAATTTAACTTATATTTTTAATTACACAATTTTAATTTAATTTTAATTTAATTTTTATTTAATTTTTATTTAATTTTAATTTAATTTTAATTTAATTTTAATTCAAAGAACGAGATAAACTTTAATGACAGTAATTTTATAAATCAGAAAATATTTTTTTTCTATTTAAACAATATTAAAAACTAGTTGATTATTAAACGCAGATTCCTAGTTTGTTTATCAGTAGAAAATAAGAGGAAAATTACTAATTATTATAGTAGTCAGTAATACTGATTATTAGTAAATGAACAACTTTTTATTAGTAGAAAAAAACTAATTATTTGTAGAAAGTAAATAATTATTGGTAGAAAATCTAATTAATCTAATTAATAATGAATAAATAACAAAAAAATTACCAGTAGAATAACTAAATATTAGTAGAAAATAACTATAATTATTTAGTCGAAAATTGCAAATATTAGTAAAAAGTAAATAAATAAAAAAAATTACCAGTAGAAAATTACTAATTACTAATCAGTTATAATTATAACTAATTGTTAGTCGAAAAAAACTAATTATTAGTGATTATTGGAAAAAAAAATTACTAACAGTAGAAAATGACTAATTATTTGTTGACAAAATTGATTAATAGAAAATAAATAACAAATAAATTATCAGTAGAAAATTACTAATTATTAGTAATCAATAAATGATTGTTAGTCGAAAATAACTAATTATTAGTAGGAAATAACTAATTATTAATAGAAAGTAAATAATTATTACTAAATAAATTTAAAAAAAATTATAAGTAGAAAATTACGAATTATTATTTATTAGTAAGCAATAACTGATTATCAGTAGAAAATAACTAGTCACTAGTAGGGGATAGCTACTTACTAGTAGAAAAAAACTAGTTATTAGAAAAAAATAAATAATTATTAATAGAAAAAAGCTAATTATTAGAAAAAAATTAACAAATATTAGTAAAAAAAATTCTGGTTGTTAGAAGATAAAAACTAATTGTTAGTAAGAAACAACTAACTGCTAGTAAATAGATATCGAAGAAAATAGTCAAATTTTACTAATTAGTTAATTTAATTTAATTAATAAAATTTAAATAAATAAATAAATGAATTTGAATAAAAATTTAAATAAATTTATTAAATTAATAATTTACTTATTAACTATACTATTATTTAGAATTACTTACAAAAATTAGTTATTTTGACATAACCTGAATGTAAATAAATTTAACTAATAATTGGTTATTATTAAATATTTTAGTTTGATTAGTAGAAATTTTTACTATTTAAGTCAGTGACTGAATTTTTACTATTAAATTACTATATTTTTACTATTATTAGTATATTTTCTCTTAACACAAATTAGTAAAAATTATACCACTAACTAAAATTAATAATTACATGCAATAATTTTTAGTTAAATAATACTTTTTTTTAGTAATTAATTTTTTAATTCATTAACAATTTAATTACTAAGAAATTTACTAACAATTTAATTACTAAGAAATTTACTAACAATTTAGTTACTAACAATTTAGTTACTAAAATATTTAGTAAAAATGTATTTACTTAAAAAATTTACTAAAAAATTAGTTACTACAAAATTTACTAAAAAATTAGTTGCTACAAAATTTAATAAAAATTTACTTAAAATTTACTTTCCTGCTACTGCTGAAAAAACTAATTTTATTTTTAGTAAAGTTTCAGGGAAAGATGTATTAGTTAATTTTTAATTATTTTAAAAAAGAAACGGCACAAAGTTCTTTGTAAAATAACTAAAAAAATTAGTAAAAATTTCTACCATAGTTAATTAGTGACTAAATATCCACCAATTTAGATTTAAAGAGTTCACATCATATTTAAATAATTTCGAAAAATATCTTTTTCTGATAACACTTGTAAAAACAATTTTTCACTATTTTCTTTTTTTGTTTTTTTTTGTTTTGTTTTTTTTTTTTGTTCGGAGAGGGTAAAAAGTCTCTTTCAAGGAAAATAATAGAGTTCCTCAATTTGAGGATCCCTGTTACCGGCATCCTCGGCGTTACTTGGATCATGGAACGCAAGCAGTTGTCACTGCGACACCAATCGAGAAACACTTAATCATTTTTTATTCCAAAAAAAAGTAAAAAATAATACCCATCAGTAAACAAAAATCGACAAATATTTATCCAAGCCCTATAAAAGAAAAAAAAAAGTTCCAAAAAAATTAATTAAATAAAGTATAAAAATTGAAATTTTATTTCTTTCAAAGTTTTACGATTTGACGCATTTTGCAATTTATATGATAATTTCTCTTTGTTTTTTTTTCACTTAATTTTTTTTTGTTTTGTTTTAAGAACTACGTCAATTTTTTAAATAAAAGTTTCACGTGCAGTGTGAGTTTGTGAATCAGACGAGGAATAAACTAATAAATGAAGGTGAATATTTTTACTGTTTTTTTTTTTCGTTAATTTACGTAGAGACTGAAATTTTTTTATTTGTAATTTAAATTACTTATTTGAAAAAAAAGAAAGAAAGAAAAAAATCGTTTTCCACGAACTTGAAAGTAGTTTTAATTTAATTTGGCATCATCCCACGTGCGAGCAATTTACTCAGGATCCATTGAAACGCCTGATGCCTGTCACAACATTCGCACACTTTTACGATTTTAAAAATTCTCTTTTTAAGAAATATTTATCAATTTATTGATTAATGGGAAAAATTTAATGAGAGCAAAAATGGATTTTAAATTTAATTCAAATTTGAGAAATTAATTTATTTTTGGAAAATTTTCTAACTTGTAATAGATTTATTTTTAGTAAATTTTTTACTATTGTAATAAATTTATTTTTAGTAAATTTTTCACTATTATTATAAATTTATTTTTAGTAAATTTTTTACTTGTAAATTTTACTCTAAGATTATTTTCCTACTTGTAATAAATTTATTTCAATAAATTTGTTAGTTGTAAAATACATTTGTTAAATAATTTCTTTACTTCTATAACAAAATTTATATTTTCAGTAAATTTTTAAACTTCTAACGATTTTATTATTTATTGAAATAAATATTTTCACTTTGCATGATAAATTAATAAAAATAAATCTTGTCACTTGTCTAATAAATTTATTTGTTTTGTGCAAAATGACAAAAGTTATTTAAATTCATTTTTTACTCGCACTAAATTTATTTACATCTATTTTTTATTTGTAACTATTTTTGCAATAATTAAAGCTAATTCAATTTAAATATTAAATTTTCAAACAGACAATTTTTTTGAATATTTTAATAAAAAATTTAATTAATTTTTTACTCGGACAAAATTTATTTACATCTATACGTACTTTTTCACTTGTCACAAATTTTGCTATAAATAAATCTTCCACTTCTATTTAAATGAAATCTTTCCATAAACAATTTCTTAATATTTTATTATGTAATTAATAATAAAAATAAATAGATATTAAATAAAATAAAAAATTTATTTAATGCAAAAAATTTGCATGAAAAAATGGATGTAAATAAATTTTTTACTCGCACCAAATTTATTTACATCTACGTTTTCATTTGTAACAATATTTTTCGCAATAAATAAATCTTCCAATTTTATTTAAATTGAATCTTTATATAAACATTTTTTTTTTCAATACACTAACAAAAAATTGTTTATTTTATTATATGTAAAATAATTATTTAAATGTTTTATTGGCAGAATTTATATTTTATTAAACTAAACTGCAACAAGATGAAAAAAATAAAATTTGCCACAAGATACTAAAGAGTACAGAAGGAAAAAAAATTACGATCTATTTTTTTTTTCATTAAAAAATAAAGAATATATCAAATTTCACGTGCAAGGAAAAATCTCGTTCGTCGTGGATTAAAATTCGTTTCATTGGCTGCGCACCCGCGTTCAACTTCATAAAACAATTATTAAATTAGTTACAGAACAAAAATTACTGTTAATTAAAAAAATTACTTTCAATTTTATTCAATTCGATAATTTTATGGCTAATTTTTTTTCTATATTAAACTAATTAATTTTCAGTATATAAAAAATAATCTTTATAAAAATTTATTTAGGGGAAAAAATGTACGTTGGCCAATTTTTTTTGTAGCTAATTTTTTCTGTGAAGAAAATTGTGGCTAATTTATTTTGGTGAAAATAATAAATGTCGGTAGCTAATTTTTGTTGTGAAAAAAATAAATGTCAGTATAGCTAATTTTTTTGTGAAAAAAAATGCGGCTGATTTTTTTTTGGTGACAAAAATAAATATAGATCATTTTTATTTGTTGAAAAAAATGCAGCTAAATTTTTTTTGTGACAAAAATAAATATAGTTAAATTTTATTTGTTGAAAAAAATGCAGCTATTTTTTTTTTTTTGAGGAGGGAAATGAATCAAAAAGTTTATTTTGAGAGAAAAGGAAATGTAGTTAATTGTTTTTTTTGAGGGGGGGGGGGGAGAAAAAAAATGGTAGATATGAAATTTAATTTTTCTTGTTATTAGTTACAGTTAAGGTAATAAACTTTTATAACTTGACTTTTATATTTTATCCGCGTATATAATCTTGAGAGATGTTGATTTAAAAAGCATGAACCGTAGCGCGATGGTCAGGTGAGGAAAACTTAAGTTACAGGATAGCTTTGATGCATAATGAGGTTTCTGTTATTATAACTAACTGTTATTTCGAAATAATTTTGCAGAAACCAAAGATGTAATTACGCACATTTTCAAATAGTTCGCGTACATATATGTGCCAACATTTGCCTACCGCACTTTTATTTCATAAGACAAAGGACAAACTTTTTACATATATATATATATATATACATATACAATTTCCTTGCAAACTCTCTAGACTTGAATTAAATTTTATAATTTGTAAATTATATTTATATTCAAGCCCTTTCAGTATTTAAATAAATAATTATTTATTTAAATACTGAAAGGGCTTGATTAAAAATATAATAATTTAAATATTTTACCAAGGAAGAAAGGAAAAAAAATAATAATAATAAAATTATTAATTAGGGAGAAAAACGTATTTTTGTATTTTCACTTATTTCTCTTAATTTAATTTTTAATACCTATATTTAATTTAAATAAATTAGTAAATTATATTATTTTGTTTTTCATTATCAAAGTTTCCAAATGGCTAATTTCAGACAAAACTCAATTATTTTAATTTGAATGTAATTAAATAATTTTTAATTAAATTTAATTATTAATTTTAAATTTAAATTTGAAAGTATTACATTAATTTTAATCCCTTATTTATTTAATATTTTTTCCAAAATACTTTTATAATATTTTTAAATAATTAAATTAATTGATAGTAAAATATTTTTTGATACTAATATAGAAGAGACTAAAAATTTGATTAGTCCCTTTTATTTATTATTCTATTTTTTAATTATTTATTTATTATTATATTATTAATAATTATTATGTATGTACTATTATAAATATTATATAACAGAATGGAATAGAATTGAGTAGAATTGAATAGAAATTAAAAATGTAATTATAATACCTTTGATATTAAGAAAAAAAAGTTGTACGTACACCTGACATTAAAGCGCCCCTTAAATATAACAATGACATTATAAATTCAAAGACCAAAGAAAGAAAGAAAGTAAAAAAGAAAAATAATACTAAAAATAATAAAAAAAAGAAAAATATTAAAAGACAAAAAATTAAAGAACCGATAATAAGTTACAGGGGTTTATAGAATGTAAATTACAGTAAATAGAAAATTATGAGCAAAAAAATCATAATAAGTAGAGCCCTCTTAAAAAAAGCATCTTACTTCACTTTTTACGGGTATAAAAAGTTTATATTCACGAGTGTATTTAATGTATATTTTTAAAGCCCCTATAACTTGATACATGCGACATGGTTACTAACTACTTAGTATAATTTAAGTCTAAAAGATGACACACGTGATCTTATTTAGCAAGAGAATAAACTCCTATCTAGGTCCATTAAATTTTGTATTTTATTCCCGAACGCCCAAAAAAAAGACTAATTAAATTTTACAATTTTTCTTTCTAAAATATAAATTGTTCTATTTTTGAAAAGGAATCAACTTAATTTTTTATTATACAATTTTTTACTAGAGAAAAAAAGTATTTTTTTTAACCGTTTTTCAAGAAACGTGTTGCAAAAGTAGTTTTTTCAAAATAAACGCAAAAAAAAATTATTTGATTCAAGTAAACAATTTATTGTCTATTATCAAATAAATATTTATTTTTGTATCAAATAATTTTTATTTTTCTATCAAATAATTTTTATTTCAATCAATTAAATGGTTTATTTGATACAAGTACTGAAATTATTACCTCAAATAATTACTGATTTAAATTTATTTGAATTTAAATGAAAATTGTTTGACTCGAATAAATGTTTATTTGATAATAAACAAATAATCGGTTATTTTAATCGATTATATTTTTTTTAGTTTAATGATAATAATAACATGTATGTAAAATTAAATTGATAGTAATAATAATAGAAGTATTTATACAAATATTTTTTTAACAATAATTAGAATTTCGAAGGATTTATTACAATTTCAAAAAATAATTGAATTTTTTCGAAAAACATTATTAACAATTTTTTTTTTAAATTGAATCGCTTCATGAAATTTCATTAAAATTGTATTAAGAATGATTGTATTTTTGCAAGGAATTGAAAAAAAAATACTTGAATTGTTTCGAAAAATTTATTTCAATTTTAGAAAATAATTGAATTTTTTAAAAAATGCTATTAAAATTTTTTTTAAATTGAATTCCTTTATGAAATTTTATTAAAATTGTATTAAGAATAATTGCTTTTTTTGCAATGAATTGAAAAAAAATAATTGAATTGTTTCGAAGAATTTATTAAAATTTTAGAAAATAACTGAATTTTTTCGAAAAATATTATTAAAAATTTTTTAAAATTGAATTCTTTCATGAAATTTTATTACCATATTGTATTAAGAATAATTGCATGTTTGCAATGAATTAAAATAAAATAATTGAATTGTTTCGAAGGATTTATTAAAATTTTAGTAAATAATTTAATTTTTTAAAAACTTTTATTAAAAATTTTTTAAAAATTGAATTCCTTCATGAAATTTCATTAAAACTTTATTAAGAATAATTGCATTTTTGCAAATAAATTGAAAAAAAATAATTGAATTCTTTCGAAGGATTTATTAAAATTTTAGAAAATAATTGAATTTTTTAAAAATTGAATTCCTTCATGAAATTTTATTAAATTGTATTAAGAGTTACTGCATGTTTGCAATGAATTGAAAAAAAATGGAATTGTTTTTCTAAGGATTTATTACAATTTTAAAAAATAATTGAATTTTTTCGAAAAATATTATTAAAAATTTTTTTAAATTGAATTCCTTTATAAAATTTTATTAAAATTATATTAAGAATAATTGCATTTTTGCAATGAATTGAAAAAAAATAATTGAATTGTTTCGAAGAATTTATTAAAATTTTAGAAAATAACTGAATTTTTTCGAAAAATATTATTAAAAATTTTTTAAAATTGAATTCTTTCATGAAATTTTATTAAAATATTGTATTAAGAATAATTGAATGTTTACAATGAATTGAAATAAAATAATTGAATTGTTTCGAAGGATTTATTAAAATTTTAGAAAATAATTGAATTTTTTAAAAATTGGAATCCTTCATGAAATTTTATTAAATTGTATTAAGAATTACTGCATGTTTGCAATGAATTGAAAAAAAATGGAATTGTTTTTCTTAGGATTTATAAGAATTTTAAAAAATAATTGAATTTTTTCGAAAAATATTATTAAAAATTTTTTTAAATTGAATTCCTTTATAAAATTTTATTAAAATTATATTAAGAATAATTGCATTTTTGCAATGAATTGAAAAAAAATAATTGAATTGTTTCGAAGGATTTATTAAAATTTTAGAAAATAATTGAATTTTTTTTCAATTTTATAACGAATTAAGAAAAAAATTGAATTCTTTCGTGAAATTTTATTGAAAATAATTGAATTGTTTTAATGGATTTATTAAAATTTAAATGATAATTGAATTCTTCCGTGAAATTGTATCAAAATTTTGTTGAAAATAATTGAATTTTTGCAAAATTTTTACTATTTATAAAAATAATAATTGAATTCTTCTATAGAATGTTATAATTTATGAAAATAATTGAATTCTTCTGTTGAATGTTATAATTTTTTAAAATAATTGAATTTTGGCGAAGAATTATATTAAAACTTTTGAAAATATAAACATTAACAATTAATTATGTACTTAATAAGTAAATTTTTAAATTTTTTTAATTTTTATACATTTTTTTTCAAAAATTGAAATTTGAAAATGAAAATGTTTGTAATTTGCATAAAATAATAAATTGAATGTCACGATAATAATAACAGAAAGAATAATATTAATAATGTTGATAATGATGGTGGCAGTAATAAAAATAATAATAATAATAATAATAATAATAATAATAATAATAATAATAATAATAATAATAATAATAATAACAATAGTCATAAAAAAACAAAAAACAAAATTGGCAAGGTCGTGTGCGTTTGAATTTGAATTGAAGATTTGAAAGTGGTGAATCAGGTAACCTTATAATAATTCGCGTGGTTTTTCCTTGAAAGCATTTATATCGTAATTAAAGAAATTTTGGCGAGGTCTACACAAGTTTACCAAGTATTGCGTAAATAGAATCTTAGGTCTGGTAGACATCGGATCGTCTAAGAGTT